AGAGAGAGAGAGAGAGAGAGAGAAAGAGAGCGCGCGAGCGTGCGCCATGTTCTTGCTAAGCAATTTAGCCCTCACTCATCGCTGAGCTGGTGCCCTAGTGCTAAGAAGCTGCAGTCTCAAAGGCACACAGTTTGAACCCACTAGCTGCTCCACAGGAGAAGGACGGGCGGTCTCCTTCTGTGAGATTTACTGCCACTGAAAACCCTCTAGAGGGTCAGCTGTGAGTCAGTTCTAAATTGCCAGTGCACAGCAACAGCAACATCCCTGATCTTAGCTGAAGCTTAGAGATAAAAACTCATTTGTCCAGAAATTACATAGTCATGAAATAGCAGAGCCACACACAGAAGCCACGTTTCTGTTTCCAGACTCAGTATTCTTTCCATTTCATCAGGTACCATACTAAACTAGTGAAGCTAAACTTGCTCTTCGAATTGTTGTAAGAGTTTGTTTCTGAAAGTGCTAGAAAGCTAGAGATAATACATGTTAAAGAACCAAGGTTATGACAACAGGGTAGAAGGCAGCTGTTGCGTTCAGTAATTAAGATTTTCAGATATTACCACATCACATTGCCCAGGGGCACTCCAGCTTCACTCTTGAAGACAGAGCAAAGTGAAAGTGCTGCTTAGAGTTGGATTCAAGAACATGTCGGTGTAGAGTCTGCTTTTCTCTGTTGACTTGCACAAGAATATATGTCTTATGCATGTCCAGGTATCCTTTACAACACAATGAAAAATCTCGGGGAGAAACAGCAAGATGGACCAAATCAGATCCCTGTATTCAATGGAAATTGCATAAGGAACGTCTGTTCATTCTCACTAATTGCGTTTCATAAGGCTTTCAAACCTCACTTTTCTTTCTTTCTGGTGAGAGCCTACCCAAGGACTATGCCTATCTAATCGTCTTTCTCCTACATACATGGTATTGGGTTAACCTTAATACAAAACATTTTGTATTAAGTTTGGAATAAAAGGCATGAACCAAGGTGAAGAAGGTTAGGAAGAGATAACACATAGAGATTGACTCATCTCATGATGTCCAGCATAGCCCCCAGTTTTCTCTAGGCCTGCTGTATTTGCAGCAGAGAACAGAATACATTGCCATAGTCCAAATTAAATGAGAACTCTAGCTCAGCCTTTTATAAATAAAAATGTTTAATTATTGACTTTCTCCAGCTTCTCCCAGGCTCTTTGAAACAGAGTACTGATAAAAGATCTTTTCATTCCTAGTGTTATTTATTAAATAACTTGAGTGATATTCGAGAAGGGAGAACTGAAATCAAACCTTCCCCATTGTTTACCTTGAAATCAGAATGTGCTTCAACCCTGGTTTTCAAAAAAGATCAGGTTCTTTAGTACAAATGGCATGCCTCTAATATTAACTCAGTGAAAGGGTTTCATTGCATTTATCAAAACGCAGTAAAGAGAGGAAACCACTTTTATCACTTTGCTTGCATTTTTAAATACCAGATTATGAGGTTTCTGAAGGTTAATTGGCTTGTTGTCTTGTGTGGGCAATAAATAAATCTGGGTTTACTAAGTCTGTGCATCCTTCATTTCATAATGATTTAGAAGAGACACAATGAGTGATATTTAATACTTGAATATTTAAGCAAAATATGGATTATTTTTTAAGTTGTCTTTCAGCCTCTTGGAAAATAACTGGTTGGTTTTTGGTTTTGTTTTTTTTTTCACTGAGAATTACTGTTCCATATATCTGTAGGTTAATTTCTTTCACACAAGGTCTCTTTTACAAGAATTGCAAGATTGCTTGGTGGTGGGAAGTACATAGCAATGAGAGAGACAATGGCTATGTTACTTAAACTTAATAATTTAATAATTTAAATACATTAATAATTTAAAAACATTATCCTTCTGAATATGAAAAACTGTGTACTTGAGTACATTTTTCATTGGACAATGGAGGTAGTAAATAATAATATTGGTGGTTTGATGGCAATCCCCATAATAATTTTGATGCTTGTGAATTTCAGCTTCCCCGACTGCATCATGTCACATTTAGTCAAGGGATGTTTTCTGTATTTTGAGTAGATCCATTCTTCTTTAAAGTTTCTATGAGAATACTTGATGATTTTTTAAAAATCACTTACACATGCTTAGTGTAACCTATTCTTCATCCTGTGTTTGTATGTTGCAGGTCCAACCAAACAGTTTTCCATGGCAGTCCCCTTTACCATGCAGCAATAGCCTCCCTGCAACCTGCACGACGGGACAAAGTAAAGTGGCAGCCTGGCTACAGGACTCAGAGGAAATGGACAGGTGTGCGGAAGGTCAGTTCTGTCCCAGGGCAGGTGGTGAGAATATGCTAACAGAAAAAAGAGAGAGGAGTGAATTGTGGATGTTGGCCCTTTTACCTTGATTGCCCCTCTTGAATGCCTTGACTTTGCTATTTTTTTAATATTTTTTATAGATTTTCATATAATGATAGTAGAGTAGAGTAGAGGGACAGCGCAGGAGGGGAAGACCCTCTATGAGGTGGATTGATTCAGTGACTGGGGTAATCGGGATGGGTGTGTCAGAGGCAATGAGATTGGTACGGGATAGAGCACGGTTTAGGGCTGTTGTGCATAGGGTCGCTATGAGTTGCAAACAACTCGACGGCACATAACAACAACGACAATAGAAGAGTATTGAGAATACCATGGACTGCTAGGAAAACAGATTTGTCCTGGAAAGGGTTAAACCTGGTGGCTCCTTGGAGGCAATGATTCTGAGGCTCCGTCTAACATACTTTGGACATGTTGTGAGGAGAAACCGGTCCTTGGAGAGGGACATCATGCTTGGTAGGGTAGAGGGACAGCGCAGGAGGGGAAGGCCCTCTATGAGGTGGATTGATTCAGTGACTGGGGTAATCGGGATGGGAGTGTCAGAGACAGTGCGATTGGCACAGGACAGAGCAGAGTTTAGGGCTGTTGTACATAGGGTCATTATGAGTCACAGCGACTCAACAGCACATAACAACAACAATACCTTTACCGTAGGTTTCATTCATATACATTGTGTTTTATACAATCTTTCATTATTTTTATAGACCAGCTACATCTACCTTTTCACTGACTTTCTGCCTGTCAGTTCTCCTGCATGCTAAATCTGCCTTTTCACCCTGACTTCCACCCACTTGAACCTTCTCACTTCATCTCGTTACCAGACCCTCTCTCTTTCATAGGAGAAGCTTGGGATAATCACATGAGCGAGTGAGTGCTGCCTTCTGTCCGTCATTCTTGATTCTCCCTCGCCCTCCTCCATAGGGCACTTCCACATTGCTGGCTCTGTTCTTTCTTTTCTCATTATCGTTAATGAGAATTTGTAACAGCAAAATATATACCTATAGACAGTTTCTTCATGTGCAATTTAGTGGCATTGGTTACAATCTTTGAGTTGTGCAATCTTCTCATCCTGCTTTTCTGTTGTTCCTTCACATCGACATAAACTCAGTGCCCCCTTGAGGTTCTTGTCTGATCTTTTGAGATGCTGAGCCTAATTTGATCCCATGTAGATAGATGAAAAAGCACAGTGCTCAAAGCAGACGTTGTTTGCTAGTTAACTTAAGCAGTCATTTGGATATAAATACACTCAGGAACTATGTTTATAGAAAAGTTTAAATTTTTTTTCAGAATGATACTTTCCATTCGCCCAGCCTTCATGACTCCAGAAAAATCTTGATCCTGTAATAATGTGAAAGTTTATTCTGCATTTTGTCTCTTTTATTCATATTGCCCTTTCTTGGCCAAATAAAAAACAATCTGCTGATAAACAGCAAAATTCCAATAACAAAATTTTTTTATACTTGTTTTAGAAGATCAAAGAGCACAGCCTTCAACATGGATTGCATCTCAATGTCAAGGAAAAAAAGAAAACACAAATTCTTACCACTGCAATATCATGATAGATGGAAAAAAGATTGAAGCTGTCAACAGTTTCATCTTACTTGGATCCACAGTCAACACCCTTGATACTTCGCCGTGAGGAAATCAGGAGACATATTGGCCTGGAAAAGTTTGCAGTTAGGGATCTTTCTAGATTATTGTTGGTTTTTTTGTTGTTATGTGCCATTGAGTCATCTCTAACTCATAGCGACCCTTTGTACAACAGCCTTAAACCCTGGTCTATCCTATGCCAATATTATTGTCTCCGAAAAACCTACCCCCATTACTCCAGTCACTGAATCAATCCATCTCATCGAGGGTCTTCCTCTCTTGTGCTGTCCTTCCACACTCCTAAGTATGGCGTTCCTCTTCAAGGACCAACCCCACCTTGCAACATGTCCAGAGTATGTCAGACAAAGCTTCAGAATCCTTGCCTCCAAATAGCAGCCTGGCTTCACTCTCTCCAGAACAAACTTGTTTGTTCTTCTAGCAGTCAATGGTATATTCAATACTCTTCTCCAGCACCACAGCTCAAAGGCATCAACTCTCCTTCTGTCATTCCTAGTCATTGTCCAGCTCTCTGATGTATAGTAAGTAATTGCAAAGGCCATGGCCTATATCAAGCGCACCTGAGTCTCCAGACTGACATGACATCGTTGTTCTTCAGTACTTTGGGGAGATCTCTGACAGCATATTTTCCTACTGAAATTCGTCTTTTAAATTCTTGGCTACTTAGACCAAGGGTGTTGATTGTGGAGCCAAGCAAACTAAAGCTGTTAAAAATCTCAATCTCTTCACCATCTATCATGTTCTTTGATACCTTTGAGCTGTCATGCTAGAGAAGAGCACTGAACATCCCGTTGATGGCCGAAAGAACAAACAGATATGTCTTAGAGAAAGTGCAGCCAAAGTGCTCTTTGGAGGCAAAGGTGATAAAACTTTACCTCACATACTTCAGGCATGTTGCTAGGAAGGGCTATTCCTTGTGGAGGGACATTAAGCTTGGAAGGGTGAAGGGTCGCTGAAGGAGAAGACCCTAAACTAGGTGAATTGACACAGTGACTGGCACAGTGAACTGTAGAGTGTCAGGAATTGTGAAGATGGCACAGGATGGAACAAGGTTCAGATCTGTTGTTCATAGGGTTGCTGTGGGACATACCTGACTCGATAGCACCCAACACAACAATTTGTATTGCTTTTTCTTGACCAAATAAAAAGCGTATTCTCACCTTTCTACGAAGATGGCACTGAAAGTGAAAAAGAAAGCTCCTACCCCTCCCAAAACTGAAACCAAAGTAAAGGCATTAAAGGCCAAGAAGACAGTCCTGTAAGGGCATCCACAGCCACAAAAAAAGAAGATCCACACTTCACCCATCTTCCAGCAGCCTAAGACACAGACTCCGAAGGCAGCCCAAATACCCCCGGAAGAGCGCCCCCAGGAGAAACAAACTTGACCACTATGCCATCATCAAGCTTCCCCTGACCACTGAGTCAGCCATGAAGAAGACAGAAGATAACAACATCCTGTGTTCATTGTGGAAATCAAGGCTAACAAGCACCAAATTAAACAAGCTGTAAAGAAGCACTATGATATTGATGTGGCTAAGGTCAGCACTTTTATTAGGCCTGATGGAAAAAAAGAAGGCCTATGTTTGACCTGCTCCTGACTATGATGTTTGTATGTTGCCAACAAAATTGGCTAATTCTAAATACAAGTTTTTTCTCACAATAAAGAAAAGCCTCTTCTCTGACAACCTACTGACTAAAAGGGCAAAACTCCAATGATGAACCATAGTGACGTGGTAGTGATGTTACACTATGGCTCAGTTACTAAATATTCTTAGCTAGTGTCTAATCCTCTCGCCATCTGTCATAAATATTCACATTCCCAAGAAAAGTGATCCAACAGAATGTGGAAATTATAGAACATTATCATTAATACCATATGCAAGCAAAATACTGGTGAAGATCATTTAAAATTGACTAGAAAAGTACATGGACAGAGAAGTGCAAGAAATTCAAGCTGAATTTAGAAGAGACCGTGGCACCAGGGGTTTCACTGCTGATGTCAGATGAATCCTGGCTGAAAGCAGAAAATACCTGAATATTGTCTATTTGTACTTTATTGGCTATGAAAAGGCATTTGGCTCTGCGGATCATAGCAAATTATGATTGACATTGAGAAGATTGTGAGTCCCAGAACACTTACTTGTGCTTATCCAAATACTTTACCAAGAAGCTGTTGTACAAATAAAGGGAACACTATTGTTTTTGTTGTTGATTGTCGTCAAGTAGAGCACAACTCATAGCAACCCTATGAACAAATGACCTGAAGCCTTCCTATAACTACCATTATTCTCAAAGTTCATAGCACTTCCAGAGGCATATTGTTTAGGAAGTGGATGCCACTCCTGCTTCCAAACTTGGCTTGAACTGGAAGCTCCTACATGGTTTAAAATTTAGAAAAGCATGTCAGGGTTGCATCTTTTCACCATACCTATTCAGTCTGTATGCTGAGCAAATTATTTGAGAAGCCAAGCTCTATGAAGAATGTATCATCAGGATTGGAGGAACACTCAGTAAACCCTTGGTATACAGATGATACAGCCTTGTTTGCTGAAAGTGAAGAGGACTTGAAACACTTGCTGCAAAAGATCAAACACTCTAGCCTACCATATGGATTGCATCTCAGTGACAAGAAAACAATCTCACCACTGCACCAACAAGTGATATCATAATAGATGGAGAAGAGTTTGAAACTGTCAATAACGTCATGTTTCTTGAATCCACAATCAGTCTGACATTCCATTTAAGAGATTTTTCTTCGAATGTCTTCTCAAAACACTCAGCCAGTAATTTGAGTATATTATTTTATGGTTGAGGAAAGAAGCCACACCTCATTTTCCTAGAACTCTGAAGTTTTGCTTCACCCAGGCTTTAGGTCCTCAGCCTCTGTGACATCTGCTTTTTCTACAACCTTGTGGTTTGCAACCATACCATGTCTGCCAGCAGTTGAAAGGATTAAGAGGTGCATGGAGACAGTACACATTTGGCTAGTGAAATGGGTTAACATGGCTCTCTCTCCCTCTCTACTTTAAAATACTTTAAGTCCCCGCCTCTCTCCTGCCCTTTATCCAGCCTTGAGGATGATCCTCATTTTCTCCATCTGGGTCCTCTCTCCTGTCTTTTCATTTTTATGCACTAGTTAGTGCAATCTTCACGTTACTCTTACTTTGCAGATGTGGAAAGTGAAATGTATGTAGGTTAAAAAATTTGCCAAGGTTGAAACAGATGAGGGAGAGAATAATTTAAAAGTGATGTATGATAGGGTATTATGGTTATCACAGGAGTCCACAATTAAGATTGCATAGTGGAGTGTACTCGGGGCAGTGGGAGTGGTTTGG